ATTTACACAACTTCAATAATACGGGAAAATATATTAGTAGTTGGTTGCCCTTAAAATGTTCCAGTTTTGCCGTATAAAACTAGATGATGGTTCATCCCTCAGTATTTCTGGAGCTCCCCGTTAGGGAATATTCAAAGTAATAAAATATAAATATTGTCTTATCTTGGGAAATGGAAAAGTAGTAGCTACTATGAAATTCAACATTGTGTCCATTGTTGAATGGACAAAATATTTTAAGAAAGAACACTGTGCACTTTTACCCACAAAATACAGCCCTATTCAGTCAGTCTTTGAAGAGCAATTGCTATCTGTTGCTTCTATGTATGGAAGAAGAGCCAGGTGCGGCCAAAGAGTTTGTGGGACCCAAAGCAGCATGGCTGGGCTGCGCACCTCCCAGTTAGAGCAGTGAGTGAGCAGCCGGGTACGTGGTGCTGGGAGGTGGGCAGCGTGGGGCCCTGAGTCATATGGCCATGCGGTTCCCAGTCAGAGCAGTGAGTGAGCAGCTGCGTGGGCAGTGCTGGGAACTGGGCAGTGTGGGATCCTGAATGCGTGGGGCCATAGGCAACCGCCTCGCTCACCTTGCCCAAAGACCGGGCCTGAGAAGAACCCAATCAGAAATGAACCTATACAATGGTGTAATTCTCCATATTGAATTAGTAACACATTTCCTCTCTACCAACATCAGATTGAGCTGTGTGAATATGGTACAAGGTGAGATAAAGTACATCTTTCTACACCAAAAAAACCCACAATACCATCATACTCACCCTTTGGTGAGTGGGTGGTGTTTCAGTGCTTTCAAGTCTGCTCAGGAGTCCCCCAAAGAAAGTAACTCTAAGTCCTGTTAGTGTTTCGATTAGTAGTCTGCCAGCTGCAGTCTTTTGTGAAGGGTGTTGCTAATTTGGTGTCACGTCTGACACTTTGGCCAGTGCTATTTGTATTTGCAGGTTTGGTCTCTTTGCACTGCCACAGAAGGATCCAGCGTTCATAAAAGTGACATAATTTTAGATGTTGTTATTGGTCACAAAGTTATTCAGTCCTTTTTTTAAATATTTGGTTACAGTTTTTGTGATATATCGCAGCAGTGAATTCTGTGTGCTGATTGCACATTGCCTTCTGTGTGAAATAACATTTCCTTGTAGTTTAAAATGTATAGTTAGCTGAACCAAAATAATGTCGTTGAATGATATCCATATTCTCCTATTACACAGCACCATAAAAGGTGACAGTCACAGTTTACTAATGTTTCTGAATTACCTTTGTTTCCTTTCTAAAGTTTCCCAGGTATCCATCTTGCTTTTCTAACTACAGCACATTGGTTAATATTACATAGATTTACATCACAACTCACATCAAACTTCAAAGCCAATCAAGTAACTTTGTATTACATAAAGGAAATTCAGTCAAAAATAAACTCCTATGTTTTGCTCTCAAATTATCAAAAATATCTGGTAACACGTGCACACAATTCCCAGAAAGCTGAATATGGGTCCTATCTGTAAGGGGTAAACAGTGAGGTGGCAAAATTCATAAGTGATACAAAACTACTCAGGATAGTCAAGTCCCAGGCAGACTGCAAAGAAGTACAAAAGGATCTCTCAAAAGTGGGTGAATGGGCAACAGAATAGCAGATGAAATTTTTAATGTTAAAAAATACAAAGTAATGCACATTAGAAAATATAATCCCAATTATACATGTAAAATGACGGCCTAAATTACCATTCAAGAAAGAGATCTTGGAGTCATTGTGAATAGTTCTCTGAAGACATCTACTCAATGTACAGTCAGCTTTTGTGGGTAAAAACCATTTCGTCAGATGCATGACTAAGTGGTTTCAACCTATGAAAGCTTATGCCCAAATACATCTGTTAATCTTTAAGATGTCACAGGACTTCTCATTGTTTTAACAGATATAGACTAACACAGCTACCGCTCTGAGATTGTCAATCAGAAAAGTGAACAGAATGTTGGGAATCATTAAGAAAGGGATAGATAATAAGATAGGAAATATCAAAGTACCTTTATATGAATCCGTGGCATGCCTGTATCTTGAATACTGTGTGCAGCTATGGTCACCCCATCTCAGGGAAAGAAAAGAAAAGAAAAGAAAAACGAAAATCAGTAACATAAGGGCAACAAAAATGATTAGGTATGAAATAGCTTCTGTATGAGGAAAGATTAATAAGACTGGAACTTTTTAGCTTGGAAAAGAGATGACAAAGGGTAGATATGATTGAGATTTAAAAAATCATTACTGGTGTAGAGAAAATATATAAGGAAATGCTATATTTTCTCCTCATAACACAAGAACAAAGAATCACCAAATGAAATTAGGCAGCTGGTTTCAAACAAATAAAAGGAAGTAGTTTATCAGCTTGTGGGACTTTTTGCCAGAGGATGTTGTAAAGGCCAAGACTTATGACATGATTAAAAATAAACAGATAAGTTCCTGGAAGATAGATCCATCAATAGTTATTTGTCCTTAGCCTTTGTGTGCCAGAAGCTGACAATGAGTGTCAGGGATGGATCACTTGATGGTTACCTGTTCTGTTAATTCCCTCTGGGGCATCTGAGACTGGCCAGTGTCAGAGGACAGGATGGGCTAGATGGATCTTTGGTCTGACTCAATATGGCTGTTCGCATGTTCTTATGACAAATCAGTGCTGAAACAAAGTTGATCTAATGGGTGAAAGATTAAAAGCTCTACATTGTCAAACTGTGTGGTAGTGGAAATGGATCTAAATATTTAAATATGAATGAAGTGTGGCTCTAACTGATCTGTTTAATGTTATATGTATGCATAAAGTGACATTCCGTTAACTTAGATGTCTTGTATGTGAAACCTGCTTTTAACTTTTCCATTTATACATAAATATCATAAAACATTATAAACTTAAGAACAACAAATAGTCTGGTAGCCCTTTACAGACTAACAAAACATGTAGATGGTATCATGAGCTTTCGTGGGCACAACCCACTTCTTCAGATGACCGGAGTGTTGGATGTCTAGAACCAAAACTAAATAAGGGAGAAGAGGGGGGCAAAAAGAGTCAGTGGGTATATAAATATCAAAGGAAAATCCCAGCTGGTATGTAACAAGTGAAACTGATAGTCTATAAACACCTAAAGATTGGATAGTTAAAGGAAGCAGATAAGGACCATTAGTTAGCATTTAGAGAGGAAGGAGTACTAACACCAAAATTTACATAGACAAAGAACCATTGGCGCCTTCATTGGTTGGTAGGATGATAATGTCCAAGCCATCCGGTATCTCTATTCAAACCATTGGCATGCGAATTAAACTTGTGAATGAATTGTAATTCCACCCCTTCCCTGGGTATTTGGCTTGTGGAATTGATCTGTAACAAAACAGCAACTTGAAGTTCTCTTAATGAGTGACCAGGCAGATTAAAGTGTTCACCAATAGGTTTCTGTATGTTCCCTTTATGGAGATCTGATTTGTGTCCATTGATTCTTTTCCATAGGGACTGTCCAGTGTATCCAATATATATTGCAATGGGACATTGCTGGCATTTGATGGCATAGATCACATTACTGGATGTGCAGTTAAAGGCACCTCTGATCTGGTGGTTTATGTGTTTGGCTCCAGTGATGAATTTGCTTGTATAGACATGAGGACAGAATTGTCACCGGGATTGATTGCAGGGCTGGGTTCCTGCACATGTGGATGTGAATATTTTACAGTTGGCTAGAATATACCATGTAGATGGCATGTGTAAATGTGATAAATCTGAAATAAGGAGAGGGAATTATGAAATCTCAGAGGCAGAGTAGAGGGTGATTTTTAAAGCCAAGTTTTATATACTAGGTAAAGAGTTGGAAGTCATGGGCTACAGACAGGAAGATATGCCTTTTTTAAATCCCGGCTAGTTCGAACCCCGTGCCGCGTGGCTACACACGGCATGGAGTAGCTAGTTCGGATTAGGCTTCCTAATCCGAACTAGCTGTACTCCTCATTCCACGAGGAGTACAGCTAGTTTGGATTAGAATCCTAATCTGAACTAGCTACTCTGTACCGCGTGTAGCCGCGCGGCACGGGGTTCGAACTAGCCGGGATTTAAAATTGGCGGCGCCCGGTTTATGCAAATGAAGCCCGGGAAATTCAAATCCCGGGCTTCATTTGCAAGTGCAGTATGCCTACATTACCCTCCTAGTTCGAATTAGGAGGGTAGTGTAGACATACCCTGGGAGAAAAGGCAAAATGCTGGGATTTGAAAAAGATAGAGAACAATCTATAAAATAGAAATGGAAAGGGTTAAAGTCAGAGAGATGGAAGGAAAGTCAAATTAATGGTGAATCATAAAGACTAGGAGAGCGAGATTTAGTGCATACATGAGTTATATTTATTTTAAATGTATTTCTGCAAATTCCCAGGACTCTTCATAGCCATAATAATTTAGTGCACTGGAGGAGAATTCTATGAACTGAAGAATGGATTGCAAATTAGAGGGGAAAAAACAATAAAGTAAACCAGCAATATTATTTTGTAAAACATGTTTTTTTTTAATTTCTTTGTATCTTCAGAAGTTTAACAATGACTGGTGGATAGGACGATTGGTAAAAGAAGGCTGTGAAATAGGATTCATACCAAGCCCAGTCAAATTAGAAAACATGAGGATACAACATGAACAAAGGGCAAAGCAAGGAAAATTCTACTCCAGGTAATAAAGGCAAATTTTAAAATATCTTTCACTGTGACGTATAGCTTATGAATAATTTAAGGTACCTAATCTTTCTTTACTGTTTTCTCTTTAATGAATATAAGCGTTAACTTGGTATATTCTGGATTAATTAAGGAACACCTGTCACAAGTTAATATTTGATTGGTCTGATTTCATTGTTACTGTTGAGAAAAAGCAGGGAATATTGGTCAAAATGAGGACAATGTGCAATTTTTAATGGGCGTCAAATGGCTAAAATGCCAAATAGTTTTTTAGAAATGTTAGGGTTTACATATAAAACTAGTCTTCATCTGAATCTCACTTAAACTGGAGGCCACTAATTGATCATGAAGCAGGAGGAATAAAATGTAAACAAGGTTTTTCCAGAGACACAAGCTAGAACTGATCATCTCTCTGTAGCTAGCATCTGGCAAATTGGAATTTGCATAGCAGAGTTCTGAGTGCATTGAACATCCCCCTTGGTAGAAGGTGAACCAGTCTACTCAGGTGTTCCAGTGGCCAGTAGCTGCCACTCTTCACTTGTCTTTTCTCTATAGCCAGGAATTCTAAGCTTTTCTCGGACAGTGCTGTGTGCTAGTTTTGCAGCTGTTAACCTATATTAGTTTACTTTGTTTAATGTACTTTTCAGACCTATTAGCAGTGCTGAATTTACATTGTCACTTGGGTTAAATTTTAAAGAAGATATTTCTTAAAAGGGTCTGCAAGGACACCAAGATTTTAAAGAACCAGACTGTGATAATACATTCTTATTGTTGAGTCTCTTGTCTTTCATCTTGTTATCTTTTTAGTTTGGGTCTATTTTGTATTTTTTTTTTGTTACCTTTGCTATCCAGGCATCTCCTCTTATATCTATTTTTCTTTTGTAAATATGGAAAATAGCTCTGTGACTTCAAACATTTCCACTAAGTGCTAGGGATAGTATCGAGTAACCAGTAAAATGGTTATCCGGTAAGCATCATCCTTAATCGTTACCCAGGAGTAGCCCCCTTCTCGAGCCCCACCAAGACCCCTGTGCAGGGTTGCAAGCTCCCAGCCTATATAGACTGGGAGCTGACAACGCCACACACACCCCCATTGGGGAAAGTCAGGGGCAGCTGTGATACGAGCAGTAATCTCTATAGGGGCCTCGGAGCTGCAATGGCAGTGGTAGCCCCTATACAGTGGGGGCCACTGTAACCGGTCTCACCCTCCCCTCCACTCTTTAAATGGTTAAATGCAATATTAGCACTACATTTAACCCATGAGATTTGGGACACTAGCTTGTCAGAAACTGGCACAAGTATGGCCTAAAGGGTTCAGGAGAAGTGCTGCAATATCCTGGGAGTCTTTGAAAGAGGGGGAAACTGACTGTTCCCCTGGGGACCTGAAGTCTCTCTCTCCGCCCCACCTCACCCACCCTTTTTTTTAAAATAAGAAGGATTACATTGATTATTCTGAAAAGCTTTCAAAGACTCAAAGGTGGAATCTATGATGTTCTTGGAAATATATGTCCTATTGATCTGGAGTTAGTGCTAACACACTTGGTTCTAGATCAGTAATAGTTTTCATAGGAGTACGTATATAAACTGCTAAAGAAATTACCGAAAGACCCATCTTATTACTGACAGGTATATGCAGTAGCCATGAATATCTACAAAGCTAACTTATCATCCTTCAGAGTGCCTCCCGCTTCCCCCCTTCACACACACACACAAATAAAAAAACTCTTTGGGGGAGGGACTGTATTTTTGTTTTGTGTTTGTACCATAGCATAGTGGTGGCCTGGTTCATTACTATACTTTATAGGCATGACAAGAATACACTCTAGTATTACAAGAGCAACAACAACACAGGGCCCTCTTATCCATGGTTCAAATTAAAGCCTTCTTGATAACTAAAAGTAGGATAATGAGAACTGGGAAGGGAAAATTCAGCAGTCAGCTGGTGTTCAGATGTTGAGCTCAATTCTGATTTCAATCAAGCCAAAGTAAATCTAGGATAAATTCACTGAGGAAAGCAGAATTACTCTGGATTTACCTTGTTTTAACTAAAACTAGAATGTGGTCCATTGTAATATGTTTGCAGTACCATGACACACTACCATAGCTGTTACTATAATTATATTACCCTGAGGCTTCCATAGTCTCAGACAAGACAGGAAGTGTCTCCTCATATCGGTCTGTCTTGTCATTCAAGACTAACTTAATGTTGGTTTAAGGACAGCTTCTGACATCCAGGTGGGATATGTAATTCCTATGTGCAAATTATAGCAAACATCGATAGAGCAGAATTTATATCCAAATCTGCAAAAATGATCCATAGATATAAAGCAGATATCTTAAATAGGTTTCTAAGTACAACATTTGTATCTGCATCCACATCTATATCCGCAAAAATGAGCCACGGATATCAGCATCCATATCAGCAAATGCAGATACTGGTGGATATAAAGCCATATCTATGGATTTGCAGGACACTAAACATTGAAATGTTCACTTCTGCATGAGGTGGTTATATTGTCCCCTATCAGTCAAGTTAGATGTAATTACCATTCCTGTCTCAGATGGTAGGGACTAATTCGATGAGGCTGAAAATCTTAGCATTAATGATCACTTATAGCCAGATCAACTCTCTGAATTTCATATCTTATCTCCTTTAACATATCTCCTGGACAGCACAGACTAGCTAGCTAGGTATCTCAGATGAGAGGTCTGAAGTCCTAATTTCTCAGGTGGAATCAACTGGAAAGATCTACAAATTCAAATGGACCAGTTTTGTAGTCACTGGTAAACAGGGCCAGATAAACCCTTTTTATTTGCTCTACTCAAAAACATTCTGATATTATTTTCTCACATTGTCTGGGTTAGAGACATCTTCCCTCTGAGAATTCTTAGCTTTTATTTGGGCTTTTCATAAACATGCTGAAAGTAAATTTGTTTCTGTTCAGGCCCTGCCATGCTTGTCACTTAAAATGTGACAGTTACCAATTATAGTTTTACTATATCTACTGAATATGAATATTTAGCATGGACTTAGAATAGTTTGTGAGAAAGTTTATTGTAGTGGCCCCTTTCCCAAATTGCTCAAACCTGCTTCAGGTGCTTCCTACTTGCAGTTGCCTCTCCCTGTCCTCAGCTGAGTTGGCTCCTGGATTCTTTGTTTGATGCCTCCACCCAAGATGGCTTCTTATCATGCCTGAGGGTGTTGTCCGTTGAGAAAAGGAATAATGATGCTAACGGCCAAGAAGTATAAAACCCAGTACAGATGAAATAATGAAGTACATTAACCCAAACTCTAGCAATGGAATGCCACACCGAAAAGTATCAGTATAACACGGGACATTATATGGAGCAGGAAAATAGGATCCAGGGAAGGAACGGTGTAGGGTTAACTAAAAAGTGTTCAACACTAACAAATGAACAAATTCCCCACCTCCCAACACTCACAACTCTTTCCAACCCTCGGCTTCCTTCCTGGCACCTTCCCAGGGAAATGCTGGGGTTGAGTCTGGAGCTGTATGCTACATTTAAGTCAACCTAAATGAGTGACCAGGCAACTCTGGCTCATCATTTTTCTGATAAACTGCTTGTCTAGATCGCACCATGCAAAAGCCCCTATGTTCTCCTCAGCAGCAGTTTCTGCTTCACTCTCTCCTACCTGTGACTCCAAGTGTTCCAGGAAATGATGTCAGAGGGATCTGACAGCCATTGCAGTTATAGTCCTGGGTAGAATCAGCTGCAGTCTCAGTCTGATACTTCAGCTGACAAACTCTAATTTGGGGCTACAGAGTTGGGTAGTGTCAGACTCTAGGGGTATGTCTACACATAATGTAATGTAATGTAGGCATACCGCACTTGCAAATGAAGCCCGGGATTTGAATTTCCCGGGCTTCATTTGCATAAGCGGGGAGCTGCCATTTTTAAACCCCCGCTGGTTCGAACCCTGTGCAGCGCAGCTACACGGGGCACGAACTAGGTAGTTCAAACTAGGCTTCCTAGTTCGAACTACCGTTACTCCTCACTTCACGAGGTGGCCCTAGACTAGCTGCCAGCAACTGGCAAACCATGCAATCGGCGCCCCCCTTTCCCTCCCCCACACACAACCTCAAGGGCAGATATAGGCTGAGGTTTTTGGTAAACTGGGAAACATTTTGCCCCTATTTTCCATTTAATGTTTTTAAGCATATTTATTTAAACAGACATAATTATTCGGTCTGTCTATCCAACCAATGTTTCTGAGGTCAGATTAAAATAGAGACACAAAATTTTCAGAATAGATTTGTACACAACAGTTAGACAGTATTTCAGTACGGTTTCAAATAAAAATGCATTACAAATGTTAATTGTAATTTTTATTATTACAAATCCAAAATAGTCCATTGCTATACTGCTTTAACTGCCATTACCATGACATCGCTTGGTAGATGGGGGCTGGGGATGGAGTTCTGTGGCTGGGGAGAGGGAACAGGGTGCCAGCCCACAGCCACCTCGCCAGAATCATTAGACAGAGAACAGCTCACTCTTTAAAAAGAAAGCTGTTGTCTGTTCTGGATGGCTGGGGAGGGAGGAAAGAGATTTCTCATGCTGTTCCCGCCCCCCAGCAAAATCTCTTAGCTCCCATTGCCCAATCTCAGTTTCTGGCCAATAGGAACTGAGAATTTTTGCTGGGAGCAGGGGCATATAACCTTCTCCCTTACACCTCAGTCCCCTCCCCCTCCCTCTCATGCCGGGACTAGAGCCACGTGGAGCAGAAAGCAGCCTGCAGCAGACAATCTGCCTCAGGTTTCTGTTGGTAAGGACCTCTCAGCAAGAGCCTACCTCTGGCACCCTAGCCCCTCCCTTACCCAAACCCTCTGCCCCCTCCTCCACCCATAGCCCCTCCCAGATCTGTCATCCCAATCATCTGCCACAGATCACAGTCCCCTCCTACCATACGTCACATCCCAAAATCCGGCACCCCAGTCCCCTGCCTCAGGTCACAACAGCCTCCTTCACCCAAACACCCTCCCAGACCTCATTCACCCTCCTGAACCCCAGTCCCTTTCCCTAAGCTCCCTTCTGCACTCAACCTCTGTCCCAGACCCCTCATCTCCTCCATTAATATCCTGGAAGAGTGCAGCTCTTGATCACTTTTCAAAATCTTGGAGTCAAAAATTATTGACCACCCTTTATCTAATTCAAAGTCTTGTCTCTGACCCTATTCACTACTAGATCCTTCAGAAGAAGATGCAAGAAATGTTATAATAAATAGTTATGGCATCAACTGCTAATAGGGAAATTTTCTTCCAAACCTCTGTCAATTATTGGGCTGTGCCATGAATCATAAAAAAATTATCCAGTTAGTGGTTCTATTTCTCTAGGTAAATAAAATCTATTTTCTTGATATTGTTACTAAGTGAATCTAGTTTCTATTTGAGGCAAGTGTCTATTTTTGTTAATAATTAACCAGCTTCCAGAAATATCTCTGGTTATTCTTAGTTTCTGTATAATTGGGATACTTTTGTAATTTACATGGTTTTGGAGAACATTTCTTACCTGTAATGCAGGGGTGGAGAACCTTCAGCCTGGGGCATATGCAGTTTGTCAGAGTCAGCCACTGGTGGGCCACCAGACAGTTTGTTTACCTGAGCGTCCATAGGCACAGAGCTTCACATTACTCGGTGACCACAGTTCACTGTTCCAGGTCAGTGGGAGCTGTGGGAAGTGGGGGTCGAGGCCACACTCCTTTCTGCAGCCCCCATTGGCTGGGAACAGTGAACTGCAGCCATGGGGCGCTACCAGGCTCTGTGCCTGTGGATGCTCAGGTAAACAAGCTGTCTGGTGGTGTGCCAGCAGCTAATCCTGATAAACTGTGTACAGCCCATGAACCAGAGGTTCCCCACCCCTGCTGTGATGCTTGTGATGACCTCTGTCTCTCTCTCTCTCTCACACTCACTCACACACACACACACACACACACACACTCATCATTGGAAGTGTGCATCTGATCATGAGGCATTTCCATTCAGAAGTTTGAGCTGTGCATGTTCCAACCTTGCATTTGTCCAAGGTGCTAGTTACACACAGTGATGATCAATTGAGCGCTTTAGAAAACAGTATTTTCCCTTCCCTGAGTAATTTTATCAGCAGTTCTGAGGAAAAGTATATGAAGACAAACATTGTAAACTATATGTCCAATAGATTTACTGAAAAAAGTGTTCATATTAAGATCGCATTGAAAGTAAGTATATCATCCTACTAGATAACTGAGTCCCCAGAGTGTGCACATATTTTGTTTAAAATGTGAATTTATACTAAGATCGGGAATACTGCCTGTCTTTGTTAGTGGTCCATTTGATAGTTTGAAAGAGATAATGAATACATTCTAGATTTACTACTAAGACAAGACTCTAAGATTTTAACACTGATTTCTTGCTGTACTTCAGTAAATCAGGAGGAAATTCATCATCCAGTTTGGGTGACATAGTACCTAGTTCCAGAAAATCAACTCCTCCCTCATCTGGTAAGTAGATCACCAGCCTTTAGGCAACCTGATTATCAAAATTTGTGTATATTCCTTTAAATATAACACTATTTTGTATTATACTTTTAAATTGAGATGGAAAAAAAGGTTTTCCTAACTTTCAGTCTTCTTTGACACAGTGGTAGTTGGTTGTATTGTCACATGAGACTGGTTTGTATCTGTGCTGGACATGGGGGAATTGGACAAATTCTTTACTATATATACCTGACTAGTTCATGTAATAATGTGATTATCACATCTGTTCAAGTAATGTCTTGATTTCATTATGATCTGTTATGATAAAATCATGGTGGGGAAAGTAGGCTGGAAAAATAGTGTGACATTAAAGAACTTGTGCTTTTCTAAAATTGTGTGATTTTGACAGCTGTTGCTGTTTTATACTAAGACTGCCAAAGTTTTCTCCTGAGCAATTCCTAATGAGTAAGGATAATAGTCTAGTAGAGGAAAGAAGAAGGCACTGAGATACATCAGGAATATCTTTAGTGTCCTGCAGCCCCTCTAGGAGCTACATCATTTTATAACATCAGGAGCTTTTATTAACACAATTTTGATAGGTTTTACGAAGCAGATCTTGACTCAATCCTTATAGATCTGTTTTACCTTCTTGAGACAGAATTGTTTTCAATAAATGCTCCTTTTCATTTTGTCCACCAACAGGTACATTTTGAACTTGGATTAGGTTATAGTCAAGAGATATTAAGCAATTGCACTTATGAGTTGCACCAGGATGCTAAGGATAGATAGTTTGTTTAAAGGAAACTCGAACGTGACCGATTCTCATGAAAAGATTCCTAAGGAGTATGTAGGGAGAGGTGGAAGAGAGCATTTTCATTGTTGGTGGAAGAGAGCATTTTCATTGTTATCTCAGTTGGTTGAAAATAAATAACTTCCTAAAACATTTTTGTATAATGTTAACTATTAAATTAAGAAATTAAAAGTTTACTAATATCCTAGTACCATGTCAAGGAGTATTGTATAATGTATGCTTCATCTTTTGGAAGATCGAAAAAACAGGGGAATTGTACCTTCAAACAGTAAGAAACTCCTATCACTTTCTAGTCCTGTCTACATAAGCAAAAGGGCTGTGTCTAGACTGGGACGTTTTTCCGCAAAATCATCTGCTTTTGCGGAAAAACTTGCCAGCTGTCTACACTGGCCGCTTGAATTTCTGGAAAAGCACTGACGATCTCATGTAAGATTGTCAGTGCTTTTCCGGAAATACTATGCTGCTCTCGTTCGGGCAAAAGTCTTTTTCCGAAAGACTTTTACGCAAAAGGGCCAGTGGAAACAGCACAGTACTGTTTTCCGCAAAAAAGCCCTGATCGCGAAAATGGCAATCGGGGCTTTTTTGCGGAAAACCGCGTCTAGATTGGCCACGGACGCTTTTCTGCAAAAAGTGCTTTTGCGGAAAAGCATCCTGCCAATCTAGACGCGCTTTTCTGAAAATGCTTTTAACGGAAAGGTTTTCCGTTAAAAGCATTTTCGGAAAATCATGCCAGTGTAGATGTAGCCAAGGAGTTTGTTTTTCAATCAAGTTAGCCTCATGGGAGCTTAAGCTACAATATAACCAGCTAAAGTGATCAAATGATGAAATAAGCTAATTTGATAAAAAAAATATGCTTTTTTTCCTTGTGTAGTTTTATAGTACTTGGGTTTTGTCTGTAGTGATAAGTGATATTTCTGGATGAAATACATTGTATACTAATGAGATTTGTACAGCGAAGCAGCAAATTTATTTCTGTTTGCTTGAAATATCTTATTTAATGCTCATAGAATGTTTTAAAATAATTTGGTGGTAAGAGAACTAAAAGTGTAGTCAGAAAATTGAATGATTATTAGAGATAACATTTGAGACGAGAGATGAGCAGACCTGCTAATCAGAAATGTGCATGAGTGTCTGGAGGAGCCCAACTTAAGTT